AATTTCAAAGTATAATTTCAAGACAGATGTAATATTTAGTTTATTAATAAGACAAAATAATAAATCTTAATCAAGATTTATTTTACAAAAGAGATTTTTTAAAATTCTCTTAAATCTAAAATCTATTTAAATGTGAATTGAGAACTAAACTCATAAAACTCAAACTAAATTAAATAACTAACTAATTAACTGATTTTACTGAACTTAACTAATTATCTGACTAAATTTACTAGCTAAGATATATAATTTTTATATATTTTAGAGGTTATATGAATGATATTTTTATTATGATACTTATATTAGTTTTGTTATGATCTAAATATCACTTTAATTAATATCATAATATTAATTTTATTATGATAGTATTATTAGTTTTACTATAATAGTTTTGCTAACTTTGCTATAATAATTTTGTTATGATTATTATATTTGCAAAATCTTTTAAAAATATCTACAAATAATATTCTTTAAAGTTAATATCTAATAAGATATAAATAATTATTCATCCAATTATATTATGATATGAAGTGACTAATAATATAATTAATTAATACTCTATTAAAAATTCATATTATAATAATATGCTAAAGATATTTGTCAAACTGAACTGAGATATTAATATAAAAGATTTTGCTTAATGTCAAAGATATTAAACTAAAAATTAATTATAATTTTTTAAAAATTATTCTAACTATTATAAGTCATGAAACTTTATATATAATATATATAAATATGTAATAGTATTTGAATTAATGTGACTATATGTTATCTTAAAGAAAAATATTACTGTTGAAAAATATTTAAAGTGGATCTAAAAGTAAATAAATTTTATATTCAGGTTAAAGTATAAGTAAATTTTTTTGTATTTACAAATAATTATTAACTTTTACATTAGAGTTTACTTTAATAAACTTTCATTAAAACTTGTGACTAGATGAATATTTATATTAATTTGATCTGCCTGATGATATCTGATTTACTAACTAATTAAACTTATTAATAAAGAACAAAAATTATATTTAAGATCTGAAATTAATAAGTTAATTCAAAAAAGAATTGTAACTTTATATTCTAAACTTTCTGATTAATATCAAGATTATGATATAATATTAGAAGAGATTAATAAAATACTCAAATTATTAGTTTCTTTCATATTTTTATAATGATATTGAAAAATCATAATATATAATTATATTAAATTTTTGAAATTATGTACTAATCTTTTTAATGTAATAAGATATATCAAAAATAAAATACATAAGTCTTGCATATATTCTAGTTTTATTATAAAATTATAATAATTTCAGTTTTGAATAAGAAAAATATAATTTATAAATCTGAATATTAATAATTATATTTTTAAAAATATGAATAAGAAATAAATATTAAGTAAAAAAATGAAAAGATTTAATAAAATTATATAAATAAAAAGAATAAACTTTATTAAAGTGAAACTAACTAAAGAAATATTATTAGATTTTTGATAATTAATATTAATAATTTGTGAAAAAGCAAATTATCAAAAAACTAAAAGTTTACTAATAAATCACAAATATTTATTTATTATTAATTCTTTAATCTCTTTTTTAAATAATATGAAATAACTGCATTTTTTAAAAATAATATTAATATTGATCAATAAAAAATAATTATACTCTTATCACGTGACTTTAAGACTTTTCCATAATATAATGCTAGAAATTTCTAGAATTGATTTCTTATCATAAATGGTGCGATCTGCATCTCCCAAATCGGGTAAAACTCCTGACTGTAATAAGAGAGATTTCAAATATCAATCACAGGGATAACAATCGGACAATCTGATTTGATGCTTGCAATTGTTTCACAACGTGATATGCCCATGGAGAGCGACAACATGGCCTCACTCGAATACATCAAATTTGTCCGCCAATACTGGAGAGATCACCCCGATGCTGATGATAATGAAGTTCTTCAAGAGTATAACAAGACGCAACAAGGTAAGCAAGCAATGAATACACGTTTATTGGGAGGATAGTTGAAATGCATTACATGCGTTGGGGTTGGGACATGGAGCAGAGTCGTAGCAAAGGTTGGGTTATACGTAAACTCGTTTGAAAGAGCAAATAAACAAGATACGATACGTTTGGGTTAAGTTGAGTAGGAGAAACGGAGGGAGAATAGTTCGAATGCTGTTATAACACACACTGCAGGCATTGCGTGAAAAGACGCAACGTTAAAAGTCTACGTTTCTAATAATTTATTCCTGCATTAGGTTCCGTATCTCTCTCCGATCCAGGTCGCATACAGAGGCTAAGGGAACAGTTCGGTTATACCCCGAGATTAGGTAAATGCTTTTCCGTATCGTTGCTCCAAAGGATGTGTAAATCATTCCATCTAAACTATCTCTCATAGGAGGAATCGGTGGCACAACTTATCGGGAGGAGGCATTTACAAACTTTGAAGGTGTCGATGTGAATAGTAAGTTGACGTGCAAGAGGCTGGAAACTGTAACAAAATTACACAGTCACCTTCAGAATGTAAGATTCTTACTCGTGCGCTCACCCCCAATGTCTGGAAAGACGTCGCTTGCACAACTCTATGAGAACTACTTACTCACTACACATGATGAACTACGTATATTTCGGATGTCGCTCATATGGTTGAGGAAGGAGGGATCAAACTGGGATTTTACACAGCAATTCGAGGATTATATGGGAGGGGTGTCATGGGATACCTTTGTCCGCGAGTGTGACCAAGTACAAACGATACTGATCATGGATGAAATTCAGGTGTTATACAAGCCGGAAGGTGTTTCAACCTGTTTATTTGGTGGTGACAGGTTTTGGGACACAGTCAAGAGAGTTCTACAAGGCGGTGGTCTCCACATCGTTACCTTTGCATCCTATGGATATCGTGGAGCATATAGTGGACCAGGCTATCTTAAAACTATATCTCCTTTTGACTTAGACGAAATTAATACTTGGAATTTTGAAGACGTTCGGTATACTGAACAAGAGTATGCAGATTTCTTTGATGTTTTTTGTCGCTCCAATCTGAAACTGGTTCCTGAAGGGGATTTCCCTCGACTCGCCAACTATGTGAAAGAGGCAACCAAGTGCCATCCTGGGCTCGTCTCTTTCGTTCTGAATGATATTGTTTTACGATTTCGACAGCAGCTAAACCAGGGTGTGGAACCGTTGACATTTGAGAAAATATTCAAATTTTTTCAGACAGATGATTTCTATCGAGGCGTTAAGGTGAGCAATGATCGAAATTAATAGTTTACGATTTTAGAGATATCAACTTCTTTATTATTATAGCGGACACGAGCATGTCATGAAGTCATAGTGATATCTGAAGAACGACACCTTATCGACAAAGTGTTGTTTCAACCTGGCGGTATTGACACTCGCAGTGCAGTTGCAGACCGTCTGGTCAAAACAAACGTTCTTTCAGACTTCCGTCAAGGATATCAGTTGAGAAACAGGAAACTTGACTTCATATCACCACTAGTCCGTGCAGCTTATCTTCAGGAACGTCTTGGATCTAGAACCCATGTACACACTTTACCAAATTCTTTCGAAGATTTTATCAAGAAGGTGTTCGAATTAATGAGCTCGGAGACTTTCAAGAAAACCCTTTGTGTGGGTCGTGATGGTCGACTACTGGAGAGAGTGTGGCAAATGGAGTTTTACCATGCAGCAAGGAAACTGCTTCCAAAGGATGTACATATTTCTCCAGATGTTGGTGCTGTTTTTGCTTTGGAGGGCTGGGTGGATTTCTACGTTGATGACGAACATGATTGGATGATAGAGCTAGTTCGAGATGGTGAAGATCTGGAAAAGCATCGAGAGAAGATGAAGAAGGACGGGCTATATGGTTCAATTCTGAAATGTGCTAAGCATCATGCAATTGTGGATATTAGAAGTGGTGTGGGTAGACCCCACAACCTGAAATCAGGTGTCATTTATGTTGTGTGTTCACAGGACTTTTCCAGAGTGGAAATATGTATTAATAGTATTTGGGAGAAGGTTCGGCTGTGTGGAAGTGGAGATTTGTACACCGAGTTGGGTATCTCAGTGATATCTTATTGACAACTGACAGAAATGTTAAATGGTTCAACCTCTTTAGTTTCTAGTCTAAAACACAACACTTTTACTAAGACATCACTTGCTGCTTAATGACATAATGTGCATAACATAATTGCTCCAACCACTGGCGGAATTATTCAAATGGCTAGTTTCTTAATAAAGTTATCTTAGGATAAACATTGCATGCTATACATATCGTGATGCAACAATAGTGTCATATATTCACATCTTCGCATCCATTACAAAAAAAAATTTTTAATTTGAAATAGAAATAGTGAATAATATTAATTATACGTTTCTTGGAGATAGGTTGCAATTGTGGTTGCTCAAAAATTATCCCAAGAGAAAGGTTTGCCGAATTGCGTGAAGCGTTTCAAGCTCTCTCTAAATCTGAGCAAGATATATTTTTAATGGCCCAGCTGAAAGCGATGAATGCTGAGGAGATAACTGCCATTCGACGTCTTAAAAAGAAAGCACAATACGGCTCTTTGCCAAAAAACTTGCCTCAATATGTTAGGAATTGGCCGTACTCATTTGGAAAACGTCAGAAATCACCTAGTGACGAATGGTATAATACCACGTATTCATGGTAATATAAAACGAGTACCGCGATGGAAAACCAAAATAACCATTGATATAACCATTGTTACCGCCGTGAAGAATTTTCTCGAGAACTATGCCGAAATACATGGATTACCAAGTCCCGGTAGAAATGTCAATCGCGTTACTCAATCGCTTACACTTTTGCCAGCCGAAACAAGTTACAAGTCAGTCTATCGTGATTTTATTGCAGGTCTTGAAAACGATAGCACATTGAAATTATTAAAATATGACGCGTTCCGCAAGTTGTGGCATCAATTAACGCCTTATATTCAAATCATGAGTCCAAGAACGGATTTATGTGACACGTGCCAACATTTTCGGAATGGCTTACAATACAATGCTCGTAAGGAAGAAGAAGCGAAAGATTTATTGAAAAAATTCAAAGAACATCTAGTTAAAGCTAAGCTAGAGAGAAATTATTACAACAAAAATACGAAATTAGCAGAACAACAGAGAAAATTGGTAGATGAGCAGTTTATAATAAGAGGTAAAGCTGATTATTGTAGCATTGACGCTACCGCTCATTATAGTTATGATTGAGCGCAAAATGTTCACGTTCCACATTCCGATCAACAGGTAAGTAAGATTTATTATCTCAGTCCGCGTAAAGTGCATTTATTTGGTATTCAAGATGAAGCAGTACGCGAACAAATTAATTATGTTCTCGATGAAGACGAAATTATCGGCAAAGGTCCTAATGGTACGCTAAGCATGGTATTCGGTGGAATTAAGAGATTGAATAAAGGCGAAAAATATTTAAAAATTACTTGTGACAATGCGGGAGGACAGAATAAAAATAACGCCACCATTTGATTTTACCTCTATTTGGTAATTTGCGGTTATTATGAAAGTATTGAATTAAACTTCATGATACCTGGACATACTAAATTTAAGTGTGATGGTAGTTTTGGATTGATTAAGAAACTATACCGCAAAACAACGGTAGATTGCGTGGATCATATTGTTGAGGTTGTGAAAAAATCGAGTACAGCTGGATTAAATAAAGCTCAGTGTTATGGCAATGGAAAAGGTTTTCAGTACTTGGATTTTAATTTCGTGTTGGGGATTTTCTTTAAGAAATTGAATGGGTTGCAAAAATATCAGCATTTTCTTTTTGAAGCAACTAATCCTGGAATTGTCAAAGCTCAAATGGTTGCTAATGGTGCTTTTACTGAATTTAATTTATTGAAAACCAGAAAAGCAAGTGTTTCTGAAATTACCAAAGAAATTAAATCTTTCTTCATTTTAATACTAACACCACCTCCATTAGATTACAAACGTCAAGAGTGCCTCTACAAAAATATTCGTCCATTTGTCAGAGATGAATTTAAAGATATCACTTGCCCAAAGCTAGTTTATGCTGTAAAAAAAAATTATATAAAAATAGGTAATAATATAGAATTTTGCACTTTACACTATAAAATTATTATTAAGAAGTTCAGTAAACTCTCTTTGGATAATTTTTATATGTCAATAACTACTCTTTACGAATTAATTAAACAAAAATCTCAAGAGTTAGGCAGATTCTTATAAAAGTAATTGCTGACTGAGATGAAGTATTACATTCTCTTAAAGTAGTAGATATCTATAACTGTTATGATTCTAAAATTAATTTTAAAATTTGGTTTGAAAGATTTTGAGACAAGGTATTAATAAGAAATTCTGATTTACCTGTAACTGACAATGGGGACTGAACACAAAGCAATGATATAGAGAAGATTGAGAATAATGAAGAAGAGATTAGAAATGCATTCAAGAAGCACGAAAAAATTATAAAGAAAATTAAACTTCTGAAGAATGAAAATTCTTCTCTTAAGAAGTATAAAAATGAAATAATAGCAATAAAAAAAAAGTATGATGTAAAAATATTACTTGCTGAGTGATTTTTTGTTTACTCTTTTTTATTTATTACTGAGTAATTGCTTAAGATTTTAACAGAAATCTTAGTAATAAATTAGTAATTATTGACTCTTATAGATAAGACAGAATTTCTACTTTTATAAAAATGAAAAGAGAAGAATTTAGAAGAACTTGAGACAAGTTTTCACAATGTGAATTAGAACTTACTGAAATTATTAAAGTTGAAAATAGTTTTTTTTCTTGATGAAAAGTATTAAAAAATAAGTATCCTAATTTTGATATTCTTATTAATGATAATGTTTTTGTAATGGAAAGTGTTTTACAAACTTTGCTAATCAACCTGAAAAAATTCTTATAATATCAAATTACAAATATAATTATCATATTCAAATCTCTAATATTTATTATGTTAAGCAAGAAGTAAGTAATTTAAAAGATGAAGATTTTATCAAAGCTACTAAGAAATACAGAACTAAAAAAGAGCAAGAAATTAACTTTTTGTATTATTATTTTTGCAGAGAGAAATAATATTTAAAAATAATTTGCTTTTTATTTAATTTTTATTGATGAAATAGAAATTACTTTATTAGGCTTAGATATTTATTAAGTATTAAATAAAAAGAAGTCTTTAAGTAAAAAATAATTGATATAAAGTTTTATATTATTATCTAAAAATAAATTTATAAATCAAAATAAAATTGCCTTTCTTTATAAATTAATTAAACAAAAATTTCAAAAAAAAGACAGATTTTTAAAAGTTATTTCTGACTGAAATGAATATTTATAATTATCTAAACTATTCATTCTCTAAGAACTTTTATCAAAAAATTTAACTTTTTCAGAATATTTTTTGAAATTTTAAAATAAAGCAAAGTTTACTTATTATAATTATAATTTTGATATAAGAGAATATTAATTTAGAGAATCTCAATGAAAAAATTAATTATAAGAATTAACTTAATAAAGTAGCAAGAAGACAAAATATAATTTACAAATCTCCTGATTTCTATAATAAAATTCCTTTTATATCTATTATTAAAGCATTATTATAATGCTTAAAGAAAAAGTTAATTAATGAATTAATTATAATAATTTCTTACAAAAAAGATAAACATCTTTCTGATAGAAATATTTAACAAAAAAAATATTTAGCAAATTTCCTAATTATAAATTTTATTCAATAGAAGTAACTCCTGATAAAAATGAAAGAGATAAGTATTCTCCATATAGATGAGAAGTTATGAAAAAAAAATATTTAGAGTTTAATATTTTTATTGATAATAATATCTCAGTACTTATCAAAACTAGAGAATTTTTTAGAAATAATCAAGATAAAATTTATATTTTATCTGCTTATAAAACTAATGAAAAAATTCAAGAAGAAAATATTTATCATATAAAAATAATTATTTTTAATCTCAAAAATGAAGATTTTACAAAAACAATTAAAGAATATAAAGAGAAAATTATAACAAATAATAATAAATGAATTGATGCTAAGTCTATTTTACTATAATTTGAACTTATAATATTAGTATTATATAATCTAGATCTTTTTTATATATTATAAAAAAGAAGAGATAATAATAAATATTTGTTTTTTAATTAATTATTTTTTAATTTACTTTTCTTATATTTCTTCTAATTTTTATTTCTTTCTTAGTTTATTATAAATTAAGATTAATATTTATTTATTAGTTATGATTTTTCTTTTTTTTCAGTAAATCTTATAAGTAATTTTTTTCTTGATTTAGATATTTTTAAAGAGTTTGAGTATTATTAATTTTAAAAATATAAGAAATAATTTTATCTTGAGCTTTCTTTAAAATACTTTTAATAATACTATAATTCTTTAATTTTATAGTAAACTTAATATAATTTAATTTTATATTAATATTTTTATATAAAGATATTCCTATAATATTTTAATATGATAAAATAAAGATTAAAATTAATAAGTTTATAAATTATGAACAAGTATTATTATTACTTTTCAAAATATTATTAGTCATATTAATTAATTTTACAACTACATTATAATTAATCTCTTATTTATATCATATAATAAAATATTTACTTTATTTAATCACAACTTTATTTTTATATTTTTATTTTATTTTATTTTTATCTTATATTAATATAATACTTGTAAATATTGATACTAGTAATAAGAATTGTAACTAGCTATAACTCTATCATAATTCTCTGATTGATTACTGTAACTTTATTACAATTTTCTGATTAACTGTCACAAGTTGTAACTAGTTAAGGAATCATCTTTAATTGATACTAAAAAATTTTTAGAATAATTATAATCCTCTTTATCTTTATAAATAATTTAATTTTCACTCTCAAAACTTATTATAAACTATATTTATGATAAAATCTATCTTTCAGAATATAGCTTGTAATAATATATAATAATATAATATAAATTTATTAAATATTATTATTATCTCTTTGATCTATATATATTAGAACTTGTATAATATTATTAGCTTTTATAAATAATTTAAAAAGAAATACAATAAATTAATAATATAATATATCTATTTATTATATAACTTAGTCATATATTTAAAATAAAATTATCTAAAGTATTTCTAAAAGCTAGTACTTTAGATTTTTATTTACTACTATTTTATAATAATAATAATTATTTTTTTTCTTGATTTTTTTATATTAATATATTTTATAAATTATAAAAATCTCTAGTAGTAATAATAAATTATACTTATTATTAATACATATTTACTTAAATTTCATAATTAGCTAGAGATAATTAGCTTCTTAATAAAAGTGGCTAATAAGATATATATTATATTATTATAATGAAAAAAATAATTATTATCTTATTATTTTCTACTTATTAGAAAGATCAAAAAATTGATTTTATTTTTTATGAAGTTATAGAGAATCTTTTTTTGCTCTAATTAAATTAATAATAATAAATTCTCTATCTTGCAAATTTTTATTAAATATATTGATAATATCATATTATATTATTAGAGAATATTAACTAATTCATTATATATTTTACTATTATTAAAAAGAATAATATAATTAAGATTTTTTTTTATTAGTTTAGAATAGTTAAAAAAGCTTTATGTTATATATATTAAATTAATATTAATATATTACTCTTTATTAAAATACAAAGTAATTTTATCTTGTATTTTTTTAAACTTAATATATAAATCTTTAAATATAACTATTATTCTTTTTTTAGAAGAGAAATTATTAATTTTTGATATTTTATCAGACTTTATTACTTGAAATATAATATTTTTATGATATGATTTTGAATTATTTATAATTATTTTATAATAATATTTCAGATATTTATATTTTGGCTTATTAATATAATATCTAATTAAAATTAAATTATTATTCTTAATATAACTTATTCTATCTTTTTTTTATTAAATAATTAATATATCTTA